GTTGGTAGCTGATCGGCTGGCGGTTGGTCTGTTCGCCCAGCTTGGGAATTAGTTTGCTAACGTTTCATCCCTAGTCAAAAAAACATCGTCAGTTCGCATTTTTAGTGTTCGTCGAACACACTCTGGTGTTGTCTTCTATTGTGAACGAGACACTAGAAAGCTAATTGCTGAGCTCGGCGGACAAGGCAGTGGCCACCCGATCGAAAATGGAACTAATTATGAAAACCAATCAGCGGAGAGCCAAATGAAGCAATTGATCGAACATAATCAATAATGCGTTGAAGACGATCGATCATTCACCGATCCGAATGTAAGAGTAGTGTTAACCAGTTTAACCATTACAGTATGAACGTGGTGGAATTCACCATGAGGAAACTTGCACAAATAAGCGGTTAGGGTAACGCAATTTGAAAATGGGTTCCTCTGTCACCCCTACGTATCCTTAAGGAAACCGATTGATTGACGTACTTCATCTCATAGGAATAAACATCAAGGTACAAAGTCACAACCGAGCTTGCATCCCAGAGTAAACGAAATTCAAGGTTGTTGTTGCCATGACAAAACCGCAGACATGATGGTTTACACTAAACTATTCGATCAAGGTGAAAGAAGAGCAGAGAAGAAAAATATCTAGGCGTGGGGTCGTAAAGCTTAAAACAGCAGAAAACCTGCAAAAATCTACAGGTAAGTTTGTGGAATGTAGGTAGCTTGGGTGCGCTGCTTGGTTGATGGTCTATTCGCCGAGCTGGCAGTTGGATTGCCTACGTTTCATCACCAATCCAGGTGACATCGTCAGTGCCTCTTCTGCCTGTGGGTATTTAGCATCTAAGCAGAACTACCAGATACTGTTTAGGTGCTAAAGCAGAAGAGGAGGAATTCACCCACTCAGCCCTGCACTGACGATGTCACCTGGATTGATGATGAAACGTTTGCAATCCAACTGCCAGGCTCGGCGAACAGACCAACAAGCAAAATCGGTGAGTGACAGAAAGCCGTTATGTAAGTGGAGGAGTGACTGTTTCGTATATTCACAGATGTAACACTGATTCCAGAAAACTACTAGGCACGACTGCCAGGCTCGGCGAACAGACCAACAAGCAAAATCTGCAGGTGACAGAAAGCCGTTATGTAAGTGGAGGAGTGACTGTTTCGTATATTCACAGATGTAACACTGATTCCAGAAAACTACTCATGAGGCACGACTGATAACCCATGCACATTTACGTTGTCTACACCCAACTTAATCGGACATGAATATTAGTAGTGAGATAGCTGTGTAGAGGGGCTCATCTTGCGAGTGTGTTACTCACAAACAGTGTATGTGTTTGCAAGACTCCACACCTACCAGGATGCACCAACTTATCGCGTAAAACAAAAATAAATTCGTTTCTCCCGGGGAAAGTCTGGGAAACCACCGTGCGGTGAGAAACTTTTTCACTCTAGCGGAAGATCACTTTGAAATTCCCAATGTGTGGGAATTAACTAGAGCAGCAAGACCACCCCGCGCGACAAAGCTTCACATCATTCCTTGCATGTCAAATTTCAAAAATGAATACAGAAGACGGTCAAATCTTGTATGAATGCTATCGTCGTTCTCGCAATAACTAATAAGACGGCAAAATGAGAAGACAGATTCAGCTAACTTTGAAAGGAAGAGTACGTAGAGTGTTGGTGAAAAGACAGCGTGTGGACCCGTACAACCGATCTTACATTTGATGGACAGGTGCTTCAGCAAGTGAGCTAATGGGACTCTTGTTTGTTAATCCCGAAAGCGGCATCTAATGACCCACTGTGGAGGCACAAAAGGGTATTGCTAGAGGCTTTCAAAGGGGTACGGTGACTCAATCTAGTGCTCAAAACGCGTTAGTGTTGTACTTCATTCTACATCACAAGCGGCTGAGGCTAGTTGCTACAGCATCTGCCCTATGAGTGCGAAGTTCAAGGCACACCAAGGCATATCCTGTCACCCACCCAGTTCTTCACCTCGTTTTAGACGTAGCAACAAACCGAAGCACATATTCACCTACCCAAATCTGGTGTACCCTTTGGCCACTGTTAAAGTTCTGACGCTGGTGACACTTCTCGTAGGCAAAAATAAACATACTTGATGTTGGCTTTCCCTCCGATGATCTTAAGTCTTCGTTTTTCGGATTTCCTCCAAACAGTCCAGCATCATAATCGATATGCTCAGCGTGTTTACCCAGAGTAATATTTGCAACATCAGTCCACGTGGTCATATACATCTGTCTCTGCAGTGAAAATATCACCTCGTCAGTGTGACAGACGACGAGAGATTTCTTGGCACCGTTGAATCTCGTTGACCTTGACACCACAACAACATGGTCAGAGGCAGGTTAAAAGCAAAGAACCTCTCCATCCGTTTGTGGCAACCGAAAACAACTCATTCACCTCAACAAGCAGTTTTGCCAAAACAAGACGAGCAAAGCAGACTAACAGGTATTTATATCATAGAAAGGATAATAGTTGTACTTCTCCTTGAAGCTAGCAGGTCCTTTATCGAACTCAGATGGCATCTTGGCAGATAATCAATAGTGAATGAGTTTAGTAAATTCGTATGGTGTATATCGTTTCCACGCATTGTTTGATGTATAAGAGTGGCTCAAGGTTTGATGCAATATTCCACATCAGTGTAGCTGGTCAGGCCAAACAGCGTCCGACAAATCATTTTACGAAACCATAATCTGGTAATGACTCTGCCGGTTTGAACGAACAACTGTATCGTCTTGGAGTGAAATCGTTCGATACTTACGACCACGGGTCTTTCAACGTGGTGGTTGTATTTGAAAACAGTGTATTAAACTGTAGAAAAGCTCGTCGCCCAAACACGCCTCTATAATTCGCTGACCACCGATGTCATTAGAACCTCATCGCCGAAAGAAGAGAACAGGTCTAATTGCGTCTCGGATAAGTAAAAAACAAAGCCACTAAATTTTTCAACTGTTTAAGAGATGGCACAAAGAGATTTCAGCCTATTTATCACAGTTACAAGCGTTCGGGGAGTTGTAAACGTTTTACATTCAACAGTCTTATTTATTTGCGTCCACTTGCAATTATTTGGGGGTTCAGGCGTTAGTGCCTTGAAATGATAAGTCATATTAGGCAGCAAAACCCCCCAAGTTGTTTTAGTTGGTGGTGCAAGGCTACCACTTGTTTATTATTGATTTTACCAAATCAATGAACAAAATATTTTTCAGCATTATAGTTGCTATTTATTGTTCAAATCTCCCGAAGATCTCAACCATCCTCAGTTTTGATACGATTTGGTCGAAAATCAAAATGAAATACAAGCTTAAAATCATCATTTTCCCTCCAAATACTTTCCAAAATGCTTCACACGCAAGAAGATAAACCCACGGGATCTATGCGGAATGCTTCCGTGAACGGGGGTAAATTTTATCATTTCGGATCCAAAGTGGTACTCTCTTGGTGAGGCCAACCATATTCGGGACAAATATCCAACACCTTTGCTGCGATTCCGTTTTGTTCCGAATAGGAATGTTCACTTATGAAATATCTGAATGAAAAAGTCGCCGTACAGTGAAAGGACAAAAGGCCCTGCTATTACACGTGTTATCCACGCTAAAATTGAATTACTGGGACCCACTACCAAGAGCATGCCTGTGGGGTCGACGTGCTCCCTGGGACTCCGCTCACAGACATCGAGTACGCAGACGGCATAGCTCTTCTGGGATCTGACTCCGTGGTAATGCAAACAATATTAAATAATCTAAATAATTCTCCCTCGCGGTTTGGTATGCGCTTCACACCTGCAAAGTGTAAGGTGCTACTGCAAGACTGGGAGGGCTCGAACCCTAGCCTCATGCTTGCGGATGAACCGATTGAGGTAGTAGACAAAATTGTTTCCCGGGGCAGCTGTATCAGTCCCGGTGGTCTCACGAAAGATGATATTTCTATCCGGATTGGGAAGGCCAGAGCAGCTTTTGCGAACCTACGTCACCTGTGGCGTAGGCGTGACATCAGCTTCTCTGTCAAGGGTCGAGTTTACAATGCTGCGGTGCGCTCCATATTACTATATGGATCAGAAACCTGGCCGCTGCGCGCCGAGGACGTCAAAAGACTTTCAGTGTTTGACCATCGATGTCTTCGGAGCATTGCCCGAATCTGGTGGGAACACCGGATCAGCAATTCTGAAGTACGTCGAATGGTATTCGGGAGAAATAACTCACCCTCGATAGATGAACTGATCACACTGCACAGGTTGCGCTGGCTTGGCCACGTGCTGCGTATGCCAGTCGACCGACTTCCTCGAAGGGCTCTTTTCGCCCAACCATGTGAAGGGTGGAAGAGAGCCAGAGGCGGTCAAACAATGACTTGGCAGCGAAGTGTGAAAGCCATTACCAGCAAACTCAGCTGCGCTGGTCACTGCCGTCTTCCTGGATGGGGACCCCTAGACGGGCCACATCAATGGCTAGAGACATTATCAGACATGGCCCAGTGGCACCCTCAATGGCGCTCGTGCATCAACTATTGCCTTCAATTCACAGCTCCTTTTCCAACCCCCCCCTTTTGACAGCCCACCGACAGTGCTGGATTTATGCTCCAATTTACCAGCTCGCGCATGCAATGTGCAGCTACCTACCCGCTCTCCCAAATCATCGGTGAACGAAACTGCGGCAGCTACAACCAGTGTACGACCAGTACGTGGTTCTTACAGCTGACAATAATGGATGATGGTGACTACCAAGAGCGTGCTTCCATTTCTCCATGTGGTATTCCATAAAGCACCAAACTACTTGTTACCCTATAAGTAGTTGATATTATAAATAATTAATTGTAGGTCGGCGGGCATGCTTGTTAGTCAAAAAGAAGTGCGGTTGTCTAATTTTTCTCTTACGTGATTGATTCTACTCTGAACAGCGGTTTGTATTATCTCATGCGCATAATTGTCTATGGCTGGAATGGAAGGTATCATGGTCAATTGAATTCCTGAGAGATAATTCCTGTTAGTCACCAGACCATTGCTCTTCCTTAACATCCATAACAAAAGGCTAATCCGAATTTTCCAGACTGCTTCAAAGTCTTGAAGCACAGTTTGGTCAAACAAAGCAATATGACCAAGCCAGGAACGCCACTGTTATGAAATTTTTGTTTCAAAATGGAAAATGTGGCATTTCCTCCAAACGTAAACACAACTTTTCTGAGCAGTTTTGTTACTCAACTTTTCGGTTACCTGGCATAAATTCCGTCAGGAGCGAAATGATAAAAATAACGTAAACGAATGCACACGGACCAAGTGGTACCAGCACCTAAATGATCAAAGTTTCGTGCGCTGCCCTGATTGGTCAGTTTCGTGTTTGACCGTTTGGTATGTGTAAAGGATGTGGGAGTTTCGGGTGCATGTGTGTGTTTACTCTTGCTCACTCCTGTTCACACCGCAGTTTGATGCTGGCCTTCGATTCGGTTAAGAATGAATGACTATAGCTTCTGCATAACAAGGTTCTGCATATCGTTGTGGATGGCTATATGGTATTCTGTTCTGATCGAAGGGTACGGAACGGCTCCTTGTCAGAGCATGAAGGGTGACAACCAAGTCTTTCCCAGTTTATAGAGCCAAATGGTACTCTGGATGAAAAGAGGCACACTAATTCCAAAACGTTGCTGGTGAATACTCATCTACAGAGTAGGCTGCCATGATAAATGAATTCAAATTTTCAACCGCTAAACAGGCGGTCTCATTGCAAAGCTTTACTGTGTAATTGAAACAAGTTAACCGAAAAAGGACAAGAGGACACTTCATTGTTTGTGGTGAACTTCTAGACTACAGGGCACCAGAAGATGAGCATTTATCGAGCTTTTTCAACCATAATCAATGGCAGAAAGTAGTAATCAGATGAGAAACGAGGAAGATCTTTTGAAGAGGTTTGAGCTTGATAACTTGCATTCAACACATAGTTAATCATGCGTCTAGGGTCAAATAGTTCACGTTCCAGAAGAGAATCAATCACGCAAGAAGTCCACCTAGTTGAGTGCCGAAAGTCAAAGATGTTTAAATGGGGGCCAGAATGTTTGACGTCTATATATTTCGGTTCGCTGCTATTGGCACACCGGTGGATTAATCTGTGAACATCTTGGATGTATCTTGAAATAATTTTCTAAGATTTTGCCGGCATTGAATGTATTCAAATTTGATACCCCTCACCCTCGAAGACAATCTCCAACAGGGAACACCTTCACCCCTGAAGTGATTTTTTTACATTTGATCAATACCAACCCCCAGAACAGGGAGAGACGTTTTCTTGATTTCTTGACTAGCTGGCTTACTCTCCCAGACGACTGGCGCTTCAAATAATTCATGCAATAAACTCAGGTGGGCTCCTTTTGACGGCTATGATATCTTTGGATACACATACAACCCTATCTTCCAGAACTTTTAGAAGTTTTACCAAATATCTAGGGCAACACCGTGAAGCAGACAAAACGACTCAACATTTCCTGGTTTCTTATAAAGGACTGCGTTTCTCTGATGTGTTGGACCTCGTTACCCTTTAACTCAACAAAACATTACCAGTGTTCCGCGGAAAACAAGACTTGTTTACAGGCCTACTATATTGCACTATATTACTACTGCTTGGAATATTGACAGCTTGGATGCATTTTTGGTGATTTATCTGTTTACCGAGCCCCACAATTGGCTTGCAAACTTTTCGCCACCATTCTGAGAGACACCATCAGTACGTGCTTGGGCTGGTGATTTCTCTCTTCGCGTTTGCTTTTATGCCTTTTTTATATCTTGTCTTAAACCCCCCTACGTGATTTGCTGTTCAAAGCTACCTTACTGGCAGCTGGCCTGGTGCGTTTTTTGTTCGTGTTGCTTTGGTAATGGTGTAAGACGCTCGTTCTTGTGTCATCCGTTTCCAGTAAATGTACCTTTAATCTGATTGGCTCGAACTCAGTGTGCCGCTTTTCACCCTGCTTCTGATTGGCTGACTTTCACAACTGTCCTCACCGTTTCCATTTGTTTGTCCTGTTTGGTTCTTGAGCTTATTGGCACTTGTTCGGTTTGCTTCCTAAGAGTTCGGCGTCCTGGTGCACTTGAATTTTCTTTTGGATATGGATATCTACTAGTTCTACTGGTTTCTTTTTTTCACTTCCAGTGTTCCTTTTTTGTTGGTAGAAATGGCCGACCTCAGCGGGTTTGTTTGCTGCCTTGCCAGTCGGTTATCTGGCTTTCATAACTTCGCCTTCCTCCTTTGTTCATGCTTCACTCAGTGTGCTAATATTGTTCACGCTGAAATCTTTCCCTTCCTGGTTTTTTTTTACGGATATTGGTTGGAACTAACTGTGCTTTCTAGTAGCAAGTGTGTAGTTTTTTGTTCGGGCTCGCACTTTTCCCCTCATACGTCCCACGTGTTTTGTGTGTCAGTTTATGAGTAGCTTAAATCTTCTATACTGTGTCATGTTTCCTCTCAAACTGTGATACTGGAATGTGTCTCTAGGTCCGGAAGCCACGATTATATAAATAATCGCAGTACCCGGACAATCATCACAAAAGTTTTCCTGAGGTACGAAAATGAAATCCGGGTTGTCCGACTGAATTTCACTATCTTAAGAACATCCGAAGAAATCTCCTTGTGTGGGCATTTCTTTGTGAAGCATTGTACAACTCCTTTCTTTTCCTTGCCTTGAATTCAGTTGCGGCAGTATGCTTCGTCTCACTCAACCATTGTTTGGATGCTGCCCTGGTTCGTGTGAGAGCTGTTGCAGTTTAGTCCGGACGTGCTGCCTTCCCGTCTGCTGTCTTTTTACAGAAAGAGAATAGTTGTAAAAAAAACCAAACAGGTAGGTGAAGAGAAACCGACAATTGTGAGCCGATGATGACACGTCAAAATAAAGATTTAACCGCTAAAATGAGGGAGGGACGGATGAACAAACGATTGGACAACAAGAAAACAATCCACAACGCGACAAGCAGACGGGCCAGTCAGAGATGAGTAAAGTGAGAAAAACGGATTTTTGAACAAACGCAACGTAGATCACAAACAGGGTAATCGAACTACGAGTGAATTTCCGTAAGCCAATCATGACGAGGGTTAATCATGCACCCAGCCAGCCATAAATAATGTCTCCCCGAATAATGGCAAAAGCATACAAGCGAATCGCCAAGCTCGGTGCACTGATCACCAGTTGCCTTATCAACTACCACTGGCATGTGCGAGTGACAAATTTGCTACTGCATTAAAAAATTGGACAAGATCTTAAGTCTTGTCCTCACTGTCGCGAAAGCTTCTAAAAACACCCAGGGGAATGGTTCTGGGGTCCAAAGGAGGGGAAGAGTTCGAAAGATTTTCACATGATGATTTTGAATACCGGCGAGAACCACATAGTTGTTCGCTTTGGAAGATTGTTTCCATCAGCATACCGATCGCGTCTGCAATTCTGTCTCCCGAAATCCTGGCAAATAATATAACACTAGAAACACATAAATATACTGGCATTTATTCATCATCATTCTAACCTGAGCGCACACGCGCGTCAGCACACTTTGTCCCCTTTCAAAATCCATGTTCATATTACCATGACTGGCCTAGGTTGAGCAGTGCAAGCCTTTGGTAATTGAGCAAGTGGCTGTTGTTCTGTTCGCCGAGCTTGGAAATTGATTTGCAAACGTTTCGTCACCATTCGAGGGCTGTTAGGAGGGTAGTCCTTCTCTTCGTGTTTGAGTTTATATAGTTTAAAAAGAGCAACTTTTGCACTGTAACCTGATTGGCCATTGATGAACATCCCACCTGGATTCTGGTTGGCCATATCATAATCTACATTGCGTTGTGGTTTGTTTTTTTTGCTTTCTAAGGCCATACTTCGGCCACTAACCAGTCATCAAAATAATTGGCGATTGTTATACTAAAGAGTAGCTGTGGCCAACTCAACCTGTGTTTCTGGGTTAGAGGAGTAATCCTTGGATTCAACTTCATTCACAGTTCTTTCCGGCTGTCTCACTTATATTGATCCGAACTTCTGTGGCCCACAACAAGGTCCTACTCTTGGTCTTTTATGGCCACTTTCTCCAATTTACATGCGACTCGGCTATTTTAAATGTACTCTTCACGCGTAAAACAACTATCACGATTACGATAGACCGTTGAATTGTAGAAGTATAAATTTTGAACTCCAGTAGTTTCAGAACATTCATCG